ATATTGGCTTCTGAATATATCATTTAGATAATCCACCATCACCATATGTACTCTGTCCAAAAGCCCCAGTCACTCAGGAGCCTTGTTGTTGCAAAAAAAAAAAAAAAATTCAGCCACACAGTCTCCTTTCCAAATTTCCTGAACCCGTGGAAACTTTCACGGTTGAAATCATCATTGAACCATCATTCTCACCAATAAGAGAACCTGAGAATAACATAAATTGGAAAAAAAAAAGCCCTTAAATGTCTAGTAGTCCTACCTCCATACTTTACAGATAAGAGGATATATAACTTGCCCAAGGCCCATTATTAGAGCGATAATTCCTGGCCTATATTTAAGCAAAATAAACAAATCAACAACAACAACAACAACAACAACAACAACAAAACTGAAAATAAATGCGGTCACACACACTGAATTATAAATCTGGTTCTAATAGTCTTTACACTTGAGTTCTTTGTCTGAATGATGTAGAAAATAGTGGCAAATTTACAGGATGCAATTAAATGAGATAACAGATGTGAAAATATTTACATGGTGAAGAGGATAGAGTAGAGGCACAAGAAATGTTTATTAAGCCATCACCCTTAAATCAACCATTTCTAATAACTTCAGTTCTTTATCACCTTTCTTCCTTGACTCATCTCTTCCCACTGTCTTACCCTAAAGCCCTAAATGACTCATGAAAGTAAGTCATAACCAATCTCACTTTCCCATTTTCCAGCCCAAATCTATCTGCAAACCACAGCCTTGTCAATCTTTTAAAAACCCTCCCCCTATTCTAAAACTCAAAATAGAGATCTGTAGTCTACTGGCAAAGAACATGGTCCTTATCCCACGTTTGTCCTAACAACCTCAATCTGATTCCATACACCTTTTCAAAGAATTTTCCCATGGTTCTAGTGTACATGCTCTGTTCAGGTTCCTGGACATGCTCATGCTCAGCCACAAGGTCAAGCTATGCCATCCCACCTCTTCCCTGAAGTCTACTCTGGTAAAGTCAGGTGGATGTTCTTCCCAGAGCCCAAGGCAATACTAATTATATCAAATCTGGTATTGTTCTCCAATTGTTTCACTCATAAATGTGGGGCTCCACTGAGCAGATTATAATTCTTTGACCAGCATTTATTTATTTATTTATTTATTTATTTATTTATTTATT